AGTGCAGTCTTAGTTAATTTAAAGTCATCAACAATGAAGTGTAACATGGTTTGCTGGTCCCCACCCAAAATCTCATCTTCAATTATAATCCTCATAATCCCCATGTGTCAAGGACTGGGCCAGGTGGAGATAATTGAATCATGATGGTGGTTTCCCCCATGCTGTTCTCATGCTAGTGAGTTCTCCTGCCATCTCACTGCGCCTTGATGGTTTTGTAAGCGCCTGGCATTTCCCCTGCTTGCACTCACTCTGTCCTGTCACCCTATAAAGAAAGTGCCCGTTTCTCTCTTTTGCCTTTCACCATGATTGTAAGTTTCTTGAGGCCTCCCCAGCCATGTGGAACTGTGAGTCAGTTAAACCTCTTTCCTTCATAAATTACCCATTCTCGGGTATTTCTTCATAGCAGTATGAGAATGGACTAATACAGTATTTTTATTTCCACCTTAGTAATGCAGACAGCCTTCTGTTGGAACATCCTTGGGTATGAAGGACAATGTATTTTTGTGGCTTATATGCAGGGGTGATATTCAAAATATTGAACAACTGGTGTGGTGTGGGTGCTGAACAATCGAGAGAAACAGCATCACTCTTGCTGCCTTCAGGCTGCATATTATTGCTGAGTATGAACCAGGAAGAAAGCATGTGAAGCAAAGATGAGCGCATCCTGAATTGGAGATCTAGGCAAAGTTCTGCCGTGAAGCATGGTTTTTTCTTTTCCTTGACCCTGTGCCTTGAATATAAATGTGTCTTGAGAGGGGGAATGATTGCGCAAGGCAAGAGGTGGCTGCTGAGTCTCTGATGTGAGATGAATGTCAACAGGGTGAGACTGATAAAGAACAAAGCAAGTGCAAAAAGAAATAGGTCGTTGTTACTGTCGGTAAGGCACCTCTGGACTATGGATTCTCAGCTCAGGGTTAGACGAACAATAGGAAAGAAAAAGGCACACTCTTTAAAGAAATCTAGATGCTGTAATTTAGGGTTCAGATATGTTCCCTGAAAGTATGTTTTCAATTTAAAAAGAAATATTGTAACATAGATTCAGAGTGAGAATAAGAAAAAGTGGGAGGACAGTTTAGACATTCTCAGTATTTTTTTGAATGAGAAATACCTGGTGATGATGTTTTCATTGTTGTTCTTTTTTAACAAAAGAAAATTTTGAAATTAAATTTTATTTTATTAAAAAAATTTATTTCTGTCACTCAGGCTGGCATGCAGTGGTGTGATCTTGGCTCACTGCAGCCTCGGCCTCCTGGGCTCAGGTGATTCTCCCACCTCAGCCTCCCAAGTAGCTGAGCCTATAGGCAGGCATCATCACACCCAGCTAATTTTACTTATATTGTGTAGAGATGGAGTCTCACTATGTTGCCCAGTTTAGTCAGTGAATCTCCTCCCTCAGCTTCTCCAAGGGCTGGGATTACAGGATCAAATAGTTAACAGACTCACACTCAGGATGATCTACTGGTAATAGGAATGGTAATTTAGAGTAACCAAATAGCCTCAGCTGATGAGGGAAAGCTCTGCTTTACATAATAGTGCCATGTAACTTCATAATAAATCCAAATAATATATTTGGAATGAAAAATCCAGGCTGGGTGTGGTGGCTCACACCTGTAATCCTAGCACTTTGGGAGGCTGAGGTAGGTGACTGCTTGAGCACAGGAGTTCAAGACCAGCCTGGATAACATGGTGAAACTGCGTCTGAAAAAATATAAAAATTTTGTATTTTTTGGAACTACAGGGCTCACACCTGTAGTTCCAGCTACTTTGGGGGCTGAGGAAGAAGGATCGCTTGAGCCCAGGAGGTGGAGGTTGCAGTGAGCTGAGATGGCACCACTGCACTCCAGCCAGGGTGACAGAGGAAGACCCTGGCTGAAAAAAACAAAAAACAAAAAACAAACCAAGTATGTGTGTATGTTGTGTTTGTGTGTTTAATCAGCATTTGCAACCTCCAGTGAAATAATTGATTCAGACAAAGATCATTAATAGATGCTAAAACCATTAGTTGAAAGGGTGTAGGGAATTGGGCATTCCCGTGGTGCCAAAGTATTGTACATAAAATACTGCTTGCTGAAAGATGTTTTTCTTTACAATGAAGAGTTCCATGGCCACTATAAAATCAAACACCATACCAACAGTGAGACACACAGACATGTGGATCCTGATGAATATGAAATCACAACATCATCTATGCAATATGCTTGCCAAAAAATATTTACCCTGAATCTCATTAAGCTTTTAGAACTAACCTCCCTCTTAGGGAATAGAGGAACCAGTTACCTGATATCACAAGGAAAGCATCAGACAAATTCAGAATATGGGACATTCTCCAGCTGACCCTGTGTTTTCAAAAAGGGTCTAGGGCAAGTAAGTGGCCTAGATTAAAAGAAATTTAAGAGACATAACCATACATAATGCATATTTACTGGACTTTGTCAGAAAATGAAAGATATTTGGGGGATGGATAATTTTATTTTTTTAACTTGTATTTAAGCTCAGGGGTATATGTACAGGTTTGTTGTATAGGTGAATTTGTGTCGTAGGGGTTTGTTGTACAGATTATTTCATCACCCAGGTATTAAGTATAGTACCTGTTAGTTATTTTTCCTGATCCTATCCCTCCTCCCACCTTCCACCTTGATTGGAGAAATCTGAATATAGACTGAGCACTAGACACATTACAGAATCAGTTTTGCCAAGTGTCATGATGATAATTGTGGCCAAGTAAGCAAATGTCCTTCTCTGGAAATGCATACTAAAATATTTAGGGATGAAGTTTCGTGAAATAAATTACTTTGAAATAATTTAGCCAGAATAGGTAAATAAAGAGATATGAAGCAGATACGGCAGAATGTGAACTGCTGTTGAATCAAGATGGTAGGTATATGGATGTTCAATTGTTTTATTCTACTTCTATGTTTGTTTGAAATTTTTATATTAAGAAGTGTATTAGTCCATTTTCACACTGCTAAAGAAGACATACCCAAGACTGGGAAGAAAAAATTAATTGGACTTACAGTTCCACATGGATAAGGAGGCCTCAGAATCATGTGGGAGGCAAAAGGCACTTCTTACACGGTGGTGGCAAGAGAAAATTAGGAAGATGCAAAAAGCGTATGCCCCTGATAAACCCATCAGCTCTCGTGAGACTTATTCACTACCATGAGAACAGCATACATGGGAGAAAGTGCCCCCATGATTCAAATTAGGCACATGTAGGTCAAAGCCTTCTGCCAAGGCTTGGGGCTTATACCCTCTGAAGCCATCACCTGAGCTCTAAGTTGGCCCCTTTTAACCATGGCTGGAGTGGCTGGGATGTAGGGCACCAAGTCCCTCAATTGCACACAGCATGGAGACCCTGGGCTCGGTGGCCCACGAAACCAATCTTTCCTCCTAGACCTCTGGGTCTGTGATGGGAGAGGCTGCCACAAAGTTCTCTGCCATGCCCTGGAGACATTTTCCTCATAGTCTTGGGGATTAATATTCAGACCCTCATTTCCTATGCAAATATCTGCAGCTGGCTTGAATTTCTCCTCAGAAAATGGGATTTTCTTTTCTATCACATTGTCAGGTTGCAAATTTTCTGAACCTTTATGCTCTGCTTCTTTTTAAAAACTGAATACCTTTAACAGCACTCAGGTCACATCTTGAATGCTTTGCTACTTAAAAATTTCTTCCACCAGTACCCTATAACATCTCTCTCAAGTTCAAATTTCCACAAATCTCTAGGGCAGGGGCAAAACGTCATCAGTTTCTTTGCTAAAACATAACAAGAGTCACCTGTCCTCCAGTTGGCAAAAAGTTCTTCATCTCCATCTGAGACCACCTCAGCCTTGATTTCACTGTCTATGTCACTATCAGGCTTTTGGTCAAAGCCACTCAACAAGTCTCTAGGAAGTTTCAAACTTTCCCACATTTTTCTGTCTTCTAAGCCCTCCAAACTGTTCCAGCCTCTGCTTGTTACCCAGTTCCAAAGTCGCTTCCACATTTTTGGGTATCTTTACAGCAACACATCACTCTACTGGTGCCAATTTACTGTATTAGTCTGTTTTCACACTGCTGATAAAGACATACCCGAGACTGGGAAGGAAAAAAGTTTAATTGGACTTACAGTTCCACATGGATGGGGAGGCCTCAGAATCATGGCAGGAGGCAAAAGGCACTTCTTACATGGTAGTGGCAAGAGAAAATGAGGAAGATGCAAAAGCGGAAACCGCTGATAAAACCATCAGATCTTATGAGACTTATTTACTACCATGAGAAGAGTATGGGGGAAACTTTCCCCATGATTCAAATTATCTCCCACTGGATCCCTCCCACAACACGTGGGAATCACGGAGTACAATTCAAGATGAGATTTGGGTAGGGACACAGAGCCAAACCATACCAAGAAGTTTAAGGAAATGGCCAGGAGATAAAAGATTACAGAAATTTGGCCTGACAGTTTGGGAGGAGCAAAAGTGAGTGTCTGAAAGAGCCGTATTTGCATTGGGCACCCGGGCAGGGCCATTGGTGCTAAGTTCACCAATGTAATGAAGTGAGGAGGTCATTCACTCCAGAAGGACTGAGAGTTTTGGAAGAATTAATGTACTTAGAGTGCCCAAGTTATTGTCAGCCATAATTTACTCACTGGCAAGATCAGATTGAATAATTCATGTTATAGCTGCAATGAGAATACTCATGATTGTGGTTGTTAGTTGGGTTTTGTACCCCAAATTAAGCCACCTAAAATTACGTACTTTTCATTAGGAGTTTTTGAGGGAGGATATGTTTTCTTTCCTTCCTTCCATTCATCTTTCTTTCCTTCCCTCCCTCACTTCTCTTTTTCTCTTTCACCAATTCTTTCTCCAAATAATATTAATTGTCCCCTCCACTCAGGCATAGATGTAGAGTGACAGAATGCAGAACTGCTTCTTGCAATGCTAAATTGTTCTTAAAGTACAGTTATTACTCAGGAAGTGTGTTTGCAGCCCTGTCGAGCTCCATTTCTGGTGTCGTTTCAGGGAGCTGGACTGTGCCATGTTACGCCGCCTGGAGAAGAGGATTCTGGTCGATCTCCCCAGCCAGGAAGCCAGGCAGGCCATGATCCACCACTGGCTGCCCCCTGTGAGCAAGAGCAGGGCCTTAGAACTGCGCACAGAGCTGGAGTACAGTTTGCTGAGCCAGGTCAGCTGCCCTGGAGAGGGGCACGTGTAGGTCAAAGGCCCACACATGGCCATCTTGTAGACCAGGTCTTCCCATGAGCCACTAGGAGCTTGAGACACTTAGAAAAGATCCAAGCTGCCCCGTAATGCAATGGGCCTCTTCATGGAATAATATGCTCCTTGTCACTTAAAAATATTCAGAGAGGGAGAAACAATGTAAGGCAGTAGAAACAGCATAGGGTTTAGACTCAGAGGACCTATGGTCAGATCCTGGCCCTGCTGCTTGTTAGCTGTGTGACCTAAGAGAAGTCACTTACTTTCTGAGCCTCAGTTTCTTCATCTGTAAAATGGGTAGCAGATGAGCCATAAAGAATGGCTGCGATGATTACATAACAGAAAAGCTCCAGGTACATGACTATTATCCCCATTATCACTGGTGTCTATTCCCAGGGTGTTGTAGAAACGTTGCATGCTTTTGGTGAACATTTGAACACCATGTTCTCTGAAGTTCCTAAAAGGCAGGTATGAACTTAGTCACAAGAACAAACATACCTACCAAATTTGACCATCCTTGGATTTGAGCACAGGGGCCCTAATAGGCTAATTTGGGTAGTCTGTTCCTTCACTGGCATCTTATAGCATATTTCGATGGTGTTAGAAAGCCATGCTTGCCCAGCTGCTTAGGTTATCCCAACATGCTAGCAGGGCCTCTTCCTCAAGCAATGTTTATCTGGGAATCTTTTTAGGGTGTTCATGGGTGACAGATACAGAATCTACACAGGGCTTCTGATACTGGGTCCTGCCTATAAGAATGTAATGGCCAGGAGCATTCTGCCCACTGACCAATGGCTGGCTTTGTGGCTGTTTCAGGAGACTGAGGGCTACTCAGGTTCAGACATTAAGCTCGTCTGCAGGGAAGCAGCCATGCGGCCTGTGAGGAAGATCTTCGATGCACTTGAAAATCACCAGTCAGGTATGGTTTGGATCACGGTGAAGGTGTTCTGGGAAATTTGTGTAAAAATCCCACTGTCACCAGCAGATGGAGCCTGGTGCCCGTTCTTGGTGCGTCTTTACACTTGCAACGCGTTTTCTTGGTCACATCATACCTCATGCACTCAACTCATTACTTCCTTGGGTGTTCTAATTCAGTCGACTTTGCTCGCAAATGATAAACTCCTTAGGGCTGAGGCTTTTATTTCTCTGGCACACTGATGTTGGGCAGGGTCCATTTGAGGCACTATATAAATATTAAATAATACTTTGATAACAATACATTTAAGTCACATTTTTTGTCTGGGCCTTAGGGGCTGACTCAGTTGCACATTAAAGAATTTTTCCCCAGCCCTCTTTAGTCTTGCCTTTTGCTGCATTAACCATTAAGAATGCTGCATTATGCATTGTCTTGAAAGAAGGTCTATTAGCATTTCAAGAGCATTGATCACCAAGAGGTCGATTGTTGTGCTGTTACTGTTTTGTTCTTATCCTAGAAAGCAGCAACTTACCAGGGATTCAGTTGGATACAGTAACCACCGCCGACTTTCTGGATGTGCTAACACACACCAAGCCCTCCGCAAAGAATCTGGCTCAGAGATACTCAGCCTGGCAAAGAGAGTTCGAGTCTGTTTGAAATCACATTTACCCTAACCCGGCCACAAAGGCAACCACAAAGGCTTCCTAGTTTATTAGTGTCCATGGGAGAAGAACAAAAGGATTGGAATGAAAAAGAGAAAATTATTTTTAAAGACTGGATTAATTTGGGCCACCGTATTCTTTTGAATAGCTGAGATATATTTATTAATTTACCATTACTGATGTCAGCAAAATATTGAGGGTTTCAATTACACACACACACACACACACACACACACACACACACACACACAGTATTAGGTTATACAATGGAGATTTTTGACAACTAGACTCCATTAAAGTTTAATGAACAATTTTCTGTAATGTTACTCATTTGTAAATTTTTGAAGAAAAAGATGTACTTAGAAAAGTTGTGTTGACCACACACAGGATGATCCTGAGTTGGGACAGCCAAGAAGCGACAGGCACTGCCCAGCTGACAGTCCCAGGGTAGAGGACAGGAGCAGAGAAGGCAATGTGGTCTGTTTCTCATTCTGGACAATATTCTGAATCTCATCAACTCTCCCTAATTCTGACCCCATTCAGCTTTGTCAGCAGCAAACCCCTCCCAAAGTAGGCCCCACTCAGAAATGTCACTGAGCATTTGGATCCTAGAACTAATAGCCGGGGTGACTACCACACCATCACCACCAGCTGCCAGTTTGACTGTTTTGGGTTCCGGCCCCCAAATAACTTCTTTTCACTCTTCCCATCTCACATTCGGTGTGCTCTGCCCTTCTTTTTCCATTGCCACAGCTTCTCATCAGATCCAAAGCTTAGGATGGAGCACCTGAGCTTCTAGAACACTTGTTCCAAGTCTTCCCTGCTCTTAGGCTCTTCCTCACTCCTTAAGGGGTTATAAACAGCTAGAAGCATCTCTCAGAAATGCACAATCTGAGGCATCTACTTTCACTCCTTGATAAATTTTGACGGCTTCCAGTAAGTAATGCCACTTCTTTCCCCCACTAGAACTTACCTATGGGAAATTACCTTTTTTCTTTCTTGCCTTGTTTTCATCATCCCTGCTGACAGACTCTTCAAGAGAGAAAAACCTTCCAGAAAAAGTGACACTTTGGATAACTAAGTATCCCAAAGGATTTTATGCTTTTAAACAAAACCACTGCATTTTGGGGGGGTATCGATTATTTTGAGATTATCCTCAAATGCCTCATTAAACATAATTTCATGGAAAATGTCAAATTGAAAATACATCTTATTTAACAAATTGGAAATAAAAGATTTCATCTCAGTACATCCTTAAACTTCTTTATGAGCATGAGGCACTACACTATACAGCATCAGTGACATAAAGCATATAGAGTCCCCAGTCCCCAGGTCATGGATCCATAGTACCCGTCTGTGGACAGTTAAGAACTGGGTTGTACAGCAGGAGGTGAGCATTACTGCCTGAGCTCCACCTCCTGACAGAGCAGCGACGGCACTAGATTTTCATAGGACTGTGAACTCTATTGTGAACTGTGCATGTGAGGGATCTAGGTTACGCACTCATGAGAATCTAATGCCTACTGATGTGAGGTGGAATAGTTTCATCCCCAAATCATCCATCCCCGCCCCCCACTCAGGCCCAGTCCGTGGAAAGATTGTCTTCCACGAAACTGTCCCTGGTGCCAAGAAGGTTGGGGATCACTGATCTAGAAGGCTCTCCATCGAATGGCCTCAGACTAATGTACTGCCCAAGTTCTGACGTCTGCTTTGTGGTTTTGGGGGTTTGTTCTTGTCAGGCCATCAGCTGACATTTCTTGTAGCTGCTAGTCCATTCGCTTACAGCCACTACCATTATTTCTAATTTCATAAAATTTCAACTGCTGTTGCTAATTTGCTGTGGTTGGAAAATTGGTGCTGTACGTGTACCCAAGAGTGCGTGGGTAAAGGGACAGGGGAAACGCTTCTGTAGATAGCATGCTTGTGATAATACATTTGGGTCCTTTCTGCTTACTACCCATTCCTGAATGCATTCGGGTTTAGTGCAGTTCTGCCATCCCTCACAGCAAAAACACTTAACCCTTATTCCACTTCCAAAACCCCATATGCAGCCTGTGTGCCTGCCACATCTCCACACCCCCCATTCCCGTTAAATGCCTAGTCCACGGTTTTAACACTTCTACCTCTACATTCAATCACATATTCAATTCTTTCCTTTTTTCCTAAGAAAATTTGTCTTCAAATACTTAGGCATGTGGGTATTTTAGTCATGCATTTACTCTGGTGGCTTTTTTTTTTAAGATGGAGTCTTGCTCTGTCACCCAGACTGGAGTGCAGTGGGGTGATCTCAGCTCACTGCAACCTCTACTTACTGGGTTCAAGCAATTCTCCTGCCTCAGCTTCCTGAGTAGCTGGGATTACAGGCATGTGCCACCACACCGGCTATTTTTTTGTATTTTTATTAGAGATGGGGTTTCACCATTTTAGTCAGGATGGTCTCAATCTGACCTCTTGATCTGCCCACCTCGGCCTCCCAAAGTGCTGGGATTACAGGTGTGACTTCTTTATGTTTTATACATTTATTCTTGCTTTGGATGAAATGAAGTGTAGCTCTTTCATCTCTCTGCCCTTTCCTTACCACATATACATGTCTTTCTCCATCATCTCAAAAAAGTTAAGATTTTAAGTTAACTCAATAATCAGTATTTTTATTAGAACTGTACATTGTTAACTGCAGAGCTAGCTAGTGAACTGGAATTACATTTGCTTTCTTGTTGAATTTTGTCTTTTCTAGAATTAACAACTGCCTTGTTTTTCTGTTTGTTTAACTTTCTAAGTATCTATATCTACATATTTTTTGACAATGTATTTTTAGACCTGTCAGGTACCAATCAACATTCTTTCCCAAATGGTCAAACATACCAGATAAACATTTCACTCCCTGCCTACCCGCTCTGGTCCTTGTGTTCTAAGGGAAAGGGGAGCAGAGAACCATGGCAGAATAAGATGATTTGTACCTAACTCATTTCCAGCCCTGCATCTCACCCTGGCCCACCACCATGCCCACTGTCCCCAAAGCCTTCATTTCCATGGTTCCATTTTTCCAGAGAATAATGGAAAACTTCCATTCACCTGCCTTGGCTAGAAGTTGGCATCTGACTGCTCACGGTGGGGAAGTTTCCTGAGGCTCCAACGTATAACCACTTTCTCATTTTCAATCCTGTCTTGTACCTCACTTCCTCTCTACCTGCTGTCTGCAAGCCTTGAGTCTTTTAGGTTGTTCTACATGATGAATTTTGGCTGTATTTTCTTTGCACTGATTTTGCAAAACATTCCAACCAGTTTCCACCTTTCAGATTATCGTACCTTTTTATCCACTGAAACCTTCTTTTGTGGGCTGACCCTGTGGGTTTGCATTTTACTCCTTTTACTCTTATTTTGGTGTGGCTTTGAGAAAAAGAGAACAACACATATGACTAACCTGCTATATTTTGTCTCTATGATTACTTTTTAAAGTAGATTAGAAGTGTATGTCTAAGTTTACATAGGAGATTGGCCTGATAGCTGTTGGAGGAAAGTTTAATATATTTTCTTCCAAAGCAGAGGTCACAGCCCACAGGCCTACAGAAACATGGAATGTAGTAGCAAATGGAGAAGATGGATGTAAGGCAAAGCAGAGGTGGAGATTGGTGAGCCAGAAAGGGCTAGGGACTCTCTGAAAGACATAGTAATGACTGCTCCAGTTGAACATGGAAATTTGGACCTAGCATAGCCAGTTCTTCCCTTCTTCCTAGAAAACCAAGTAGATGATTTGCATTAGAATCTCCCGATGTTCAGATGTTGGCAATCAACGTTAACTATATACCTGTAGAATTCTCATGGCCTGCTCCCACTCACCTTTAAAAGCCTTTCTTGGTGAATCATACTTACCTAAAGTAACCGCATTCCTGTTGGGCTTAGTCTTCATCTCATTCAACAATCTCTCATTGTATTAGGTAGCTGTGTATATATGCATGTATTTCTGTTTGCCCCTCCAAATGTAAGCTCCACACTTGGAGTATTTTTCATTGCCACTGAATGAAAAATTCTTTAAATTGGCATAGGCCAAAGGCTATCTGAGCACTGTCTCTGACTACTACTCCCATGCATTTTGCTCACTGCCCATGATCTTAGAGGACTTACATAACCATTTTGAACTTGTTAGAGCCCTTTGTATTGTTATATATTTTTATATATGTTAATTTCCCAACTAAAAGACATGTATCTTAGGAGCCACAGCTGTATTCTCTCCATCTCCCTTATGCTTTACTCACAGGGAACATTAAATATCTGCTTTTCTTGGGAACATCAGCTAGTGAAATAAACAGGAGTTGAGCTGTGTATGACATAAAGCACTGGAAAAAGCATTCAAACTGTTTGAAACAAATGATTTCTGGTGCTTTGGCACCCTCATTACTGCTCCTTAAAGACAGCAACATGACTTGGGATAGGAAGCCTTGATGGCTGGTATAATACAGAAGTCACCAAAGGTCTTGTGCATTTAGGCTAAAAAAAGCTTTTGTGACTTATGTCAAATAAACATGATAATGCAAACACAGCCCTCTGCAAACAACTGCTAATACGACAAAAGGATTTTACTGCTCAAGGCAGTGTTTTAATGAAATAGATCAGTGTCGCTTTTTAAATTCTTTATTACAGGTGCCCAAGGACTTCAGTTTTATCCTACACGAACACATATTGATCCAAAAACCAATTGAACACAATCAGCGTGGGTGTTTTAACTTCCCTGTCCAACACACTACTGTTGAGTTCCAAAATGTGGGACTATGTGTGAAGTGACAGACATTATAATTCCATGGGAATTTCTGATGTCACAGCTATAGGTAAAGTTTGATGGAACTGTCACTTAGAGTGAGGTGGGTTAGCCCCCTTTTTTTTTCCTAGCCATTATGATTAACTCTCGCAGATGCAGAATGCGTGGTAGTCAGAGCTACTGCAACCTGTGGCTGACTTTGGGGGTGTGAGTGGAGGGGATGGTACAACCATCTGTCCTCCCCTGGACTGGAGTTCTTGCCCTGATCCACACTCCTGGTTCACAGCAGATGTGGGGCACTCAACTCCTTACAGTTGATGTTTAATAACCTGCCCAGTCCCAAGGTGTTATATGGTCCCTTTTCTGGCCCAGGGCAGGATTATAATAAAACTGATGCAAACTCCATCCTTGAGGTTAATACCAGAGAGTGCTTGACATGGGAAAGACAGAAAATGAAGGCTTTTGGAAACTTCAGTTACCAAATTTCCTCCACAAGGCCAAGGCAGTCTAACCAGCTGAGACTAACATGGATTAGAATGTTTAAGATGTTTAGTTATTCTCATGAATTTTTCTGTGGGCCGGTCAGTTAGCAAGCCCTATATAATACTTGTTAAATATCTCAAACTAAGATTTTCAGGGCCCACAGGGATAAAGTGGAATGGAAGAAAGGAAAGAAGCCATTTCTCCTGGCTGGGTCCATCATACTCAGGAGACCTTTACCCTCTTCACTTCCTGGCCCATCAATGATGTTCACTTCTTGGTTTTACTGCTAACCTGTCTCCAGAGCATCTGATCCATTACTCCCAAGTGTTTATTTAATGGGGCCTCCCCTACAGGTAACTTTAAGACAACAAGTTTAAAATGAACATTTTTCTCCTGTCCACTCAAAGCTATGCTTTCTAGCCTTAAATTCCTATGATATTTAGTTTTTATTGGTTCAGTATCCATCTGAGTGCTTACCTGTGTTGCAGCAGATATAGAAAAGAATGATGAAACTCAAATATAACTGGGTAGCAAAATTAAAAGAAAAATGAGATACAGTCCTGTCTAGAGGGGAGAAGAGCATGTGAAGACCTAAGTACACTTTTAAAGTGCCACATGGACATGAAGGAGGGGATGCCTCACCCCATCCTGCAGTCACGGACGACATCAGAGGATAGGAATGTCAAGTTAGATCTTCAGTGTTCTTGAGTAATGTGTATTCTTCTTAGCTCTTCAACTAGAAAGGATCCTTGAGGAAAAATATTTTTCTTAATATGCTTATTTCCCACCATAATCTGGGCACTCAGTGCACAGCAACTAGCAAACACTTGATAATGGTTAGGCCAAGGCATCACTGACCCAGGCATCCAATCGATAGGCCAAAGTTGAAGGCAGCCCACACACCAGGCACCACAGAGCTCTTTACCCACAGGCTGAGCTCTCTCACTGTGTGGCTTTGCTATGAAGAAGTCTAAATGCAGTATAGAATTTTTTTTTTAATCCTCAGGAAGAGTTTCTCCACTGAGATAAATGTAAAGATAAATTCTATCAACCTTTTTCAGATTGTTAAATGTGGACAGTACTGCTTCATCATCATCACCACCACCACAAATGCAGAGCACTTACCATTTACCCAATTATATTATAAGTACTTAACATGTAGTTCATCCATGTAATACTCACACCAACCCTATGTGGTCCATTTTATGGATAAGGAAAAGAAGGCATGAGAGGTAAGGTGACTCGCCCAAGGCCAGAAAGCTAGTTACACGTGGACCAGGGTCCAGAGTCTATGTTCTTAGCCATTCCACTCATCCTTCTGATTTGGGGTGGTAGTCATACCATATCTGTCTTTTGCACTCTGGGATATATAAGTACTAAGGTGAGGCATTTGCAAAAACAAAAACACAGTGCTCACCAAACTACCATTTATTTAGCTTTGTTCCCTCCCATCCAACTCTGCTGATCTCTAAACAAGCATCAAAACCCGAAGCTTAATAACATCAGTGTGAGCTTCAGTAAGGTGAACACTACAATGATGTACAATTACATCCTAATAATTCAATGCCCAAGAGCCCCGTAAAACAACTGCAAAGGCCCAGGATTATCACAATATGCAAATGCACTAGGAAAATCATTACCTATTAGTCCCCTTCATTTTGGTGGGTTTAACATGAGAAGAATAATCCATGCTACAAGACGAGATTTCATTTTACAGCTGTAGTAACCAAGTACATAAAAGCTTGAATCTGTCCCAATAGCTTCCAAAAAATTTTTCCCATAGTGTCAGAGGCAAAAATAATGAAATCTTGCAAATGTACAGTTAATAGGACCCTAATGGACACTAACTTCAAAAACGCATGGTCTATAAGACATTAAAGGCTTGATTCTAGTTTCTGTACTGTTCCTGTTAATAACAATGTCTAATTAAAACATCTGTAAAATACTGATAGTTTTAATTTTACATAAAATTTCCAAAACAACTGTTACACAGTATAATAGGTATCTGCAATGAATAGGTTATTAATGGAAATATTATTTTAAATTAAAATCTGGTTCTAAATTTAAATTAGTCATCTCTGGCTAATCAAGAGATAAAGAAGTCACCAGTGTTGGAAAAACAGTAGAAAATTTAGTTTTCAACATCTGTTAAAGCAAATTCACTGTATCACTTGGTCTAAAGGACAATTCACTTTGCTGCTTCTGTCTTCTCCATTTAGCACTTCTGATGGATTTCACAGTTGAACTCAATATTAGAACTAAGGTCTAATGCACCTTTTAATACATTACTTTATAACTTAAAACCCACTGTTCAACTTTATTCACAGTCAGAATTCTTCCCTCCCTGTTTTCCAGTGAGGAGACAGCAGAGAACAATCTTCCCTGCGGTAGCTTCTCCCTCTCAGCCCCGCCTAACCTGATGAATATTTTAAAAGGAATGGCACAAAATCTCAGCTTTCCCTTTCTTTGGGTCTCATCTTCAGTTACAAAATAAAAGGGATTAGCAAGGCTTACTGGCGGGCTGCAATTCAATACTCTTCTTTCTAATTAATGCACAATAAAGGAGGGTTAAAAAGTGATCAGCACTAACTGGGATGTGTCTACCGATACTGGCACTGAGTTGGTAAGGGAGTCATTCCAGGCAAGAAGAAGCTGCGTTTCATGTCGCTTCAGATGCACACAGTGTTTCACAGTAGGTGCTGCAGAATGTGGTCCACAGCATGAGGGAAACTCTCACAAGTTAAGTAAGGAGGTGGATTAATTTTTTCTTCATCTGCTGCTCGATATTTCCCTGAAATGAAAGTAAAGCCAGTAAACAGAGGCTACCACTAAAAGGCTAAATTAATCATACCCCATGAGCATCTGGGTCATCACAGAACCACCCGTACAATTATGAGAGAATCAGGGGCCACACATCTCACAAATCACCTTTTACTGTGGCTTCAGGATGTAAAATAAGGCAATTCAAAGAAATGTCACATTCAGCCTTTCCCCAGGCCCTCTGGTCATTCACAATGGACTGCCACAGGTACTGGGATATCTGACAGTTTAAGGTCCCCTTCACATATCCACAGCTGATGAAATCATTTTCTTTCCCCTACCCTCAGCCCTAAAGATAGATTGGTGATTAAATCAATGTTTTAAAATGGAAGCCCGGACCCCAGAAGGCAGAGGCCTCATCCTCTCCCAATGGCAACTGGGAAGAGGATGTGCTGCTGCCATGCACAGATCCAGGGAGCTTGGCGGATGACAGCGCCCCGGGGTTGGGTGGGAAAGTGACGGATGCTCGAAGGCCTGAGGCCAGGCAGGACAGGCCACCTGGCAGGCATCAAGCAGCAGGCTCACTGCCTTACTCTCCCCAACCCTGGAATTCAAGATGGCCTGCTGTTCCTAGCACCTGGCACAAAATTTAACACCCCAACACAGCAGAGGAACCATTCCACAGTGGTCACAAAGAGCTTTTACAAACATTAAGTCAGAAGGTGCACGGTCCTTAGTTAAAGACCCTTTAATGGGTCCCAGTGCCCTTCAGAAAGAATACAAAATCTCTACTGCTGCTTACCATGTCCTTTGTCATGCAGCCCCAGCAACCCTCTCACCTAAGCATGTGCTACTGGTTCACCAGGCTGCAGTCCTAGGCTGGACCTGGCTCTTCTGAGGGCCTCCATACCTGCCATTCTCTTGGCATTCGCATTCCATTCTTCTCACCTGACTACCTCCTTCATGCTTCAGGTCAGATCCCACATTCCCATACAAATTAAACCCCCTCCCTGTTATTTACCTTGTTCTTCGCCTCCACAACATTTACAACCATTTGTAATTATGCATTTATTTAACATCTGTCTCTCATTTAAAAAGACTAACTTCTTTGAGAGCAGGGACTATACCTATTACACATCCCACTGTATTCTAAGTACCTAATATGGTGACTAGCACATAGTAACCATCCTGTAAGTATCTTTTTAAAAAATGAATGGAGGGAAGAAGAGAGGGGAGGGAGGGAGGAAATGCAGACAGCTCCTGCCCTGTAGGCACCAGGGCTGCCTCTGCCCTTCACCTTTCTCCTTGCTCTCTCATCCCTTTGTGGTCTCTGTTGTTGATTCTTCTGCCCTTCCCAGTTTTCTCTGCCTAAACTCAGCTCTTTCAATAACAGACCCACTGTTTTCTACAACTGCTTCTGTAAGAGGCTTTGCCAGACAAATACAAAGCCTGAAAACCCCTCTTTTCCACATCTTTGCATCATGGTGGAGACGCTTCCTGTCTTATCTTACTGATTATAACTTCTTACAGGAAGGGAGCCAGCATCAAGTGTACCAAGGTAATTAATATACACCTCACTCTCATTAGCACCCTCAAGGCACCTGTCCCCACAGCAAATTTTACTGCCAGCTTTCTTCTCAAGCTTTAACATCATTAAGCATAAACACCTTTACAAGGTTTCTATTTGGTCTCACAGGTAAGTTAATGACTAAATATTAGTATATGACTTACTTTCTAGATCCAGTGGTCTAAGAGACAAATAAATAAGCTTCCTGGCTGTGAAGTTAAAGGCTTCTGCTCAGTCTGGCTCTGCAAGTGGGGTTTCTAAAGTATAAATTGACAAAAGTGGCTGAGGTATATGTTCTAGTTCCTGCACCTAGCACTGTGCTTGGCACACAGCAGGGGCTCAATAACGTTTGCTGAGTGAATGAAGCAGCCTGCATTGCTCATGGCTGACTCATTCACTGCAGCTGCCTGTGCTTTCATGGATGGATAAATGATGAATGGAGGGAAAAAACAGGATGCTATGTTAATGATATATGAAGGCAAAGAAAGATCCTATTTTTTTTTCTAGATGACTGTTTCACATGTTAAACAGAAATAAATTCTGGTTAGGACTAGTCAAAAATCTTTATTATCAAATAACTGAGCAAATGTATACTGAGGATCTACCTCGTGCTACCCCTTGAGAAACAAAATTACTCAAAATGATTCACAAAAAGCACTTGTTATTGAATATGAATTAAAATATTTAAGGTAATTTTCAACAATGGGAAGCCTAGCACTTGTCCACTGCACTGAGTTAAAATTTATCAATGTAGCTGGCTGTTCCACATGTTTTTAGAACAGAAGGGTTATTCATGATTTTTCTGACCAAAGATCAATGGTACAGATATGCCTGTTGCCGTGAGCCATAATTAGTTGATTTACTAATTACACATTTTAGTTGATTGTGTTTATGCTGAGTGCTTCTCAAAGACTAAACTGATGACTGTGAAAGGCCAGTTGCAACCAAATGCCAGTCAGAAAAGACAACAGAGCCAGTGGAGACCAGCCAGGGGAGCTGGGCCCATCAAGACACTGGCAGAAATACCATTTTGAAGCTTAGTGTAAATCCTAATTACATGAACTTAAAAAAAGAAAAAGAAAAAGAAAAGAAAACGTTCATGTGAATAATACACAAGTAAAAATAGTTATCTAAGGATTTCTTCAATAATCAGAAAATAAAACTGGAAAAGGCAGGAATCTGAAAACAAAGGTACATGGAGGTTGATGAGTGTGGCTACTTTTCCAGACTTTAATTCATTCTTCCGTTTCTACTTACATCACAGGGCTGTTATGTTCCTGGGAAGGTGGTCATTTTGACTGAGACATTTAAACAAACCCACTGTGTTAATTTTAGAGTGACTGGTGCTACTATCTGTTCACTTCAGGCCCCAGGAACAAGCAGACAGTGTTTTCACTCTTTATACAGGCCTTTGCCACATACTTCTTATTCAATTGTAGCTCCACCTACATTTGTTTCTATTTGAAATTCAAAACATTTCATGCAACCACATTTTCTTGAACACACATCACAGACACTTTTTCTAAAAAATTTCCCAGTGGTAACTCTTCTTTGACTTTATGTTTAAATATTCCCTTCTGTAAACAGCCTATTAAATAGTTTTACTACTATGATATGAAACCAGACAAATGAGCTCACAGAGACATCTATGGAACCACTTATCTGCTATTTGATTTATAAGAGTCTGATAACAATTCTTGGACAAGATTTCTGGCTGTCATATGCTGTTAATTCCAAATGCAGCAGGTGCCATTTGAGGGACAGCATGCAGGGGAAGAAGGGCTTTTCATTATAATGGTAACAGCTCATTAAGTTCCCAATGCAATAATACTCAGCCCTACTCACAGATCTTATGCCCGTTCTTTCTTTACCTCGAAAGGACTTTATGATCACACTGTACACAGGATCATAATCTATGAGGGCAAGAAGGGACCACCAGCCCAATCCCATCATTTTTACAGGGCCTGAAGAGGGGAAGAGCCTTGACCCAAGTCTCACACAGTTAGTTAATGCAGAGCTTAGACCAGGACCCAAGGCACTTAACCAGTCTATGGTAGTCATAATACTGTATTAGCGAATCCTCCCCAATAAGGTCTTTCCTTTTTCTTAAATTTATTTGAGATACCATATAGAGCAAACCTAATTGTGGTGCAGGAAATAATTCCTAACCTTTTGCTCACTACAAACAATGAGCAAAGAAAAAAAACAGTTTTTAGAATATTTTTGTAAATGTTCAAACATTAACACAAAGGATCAGATTACTTAGCTGGCCAGTTCCTAAAGAGATCAGTATCTTTAGGATAGCCAGCAAGAAAATAAAAGGTATTTTTACAGAGCACCACAATCCATGGTCCTTTGCTCCATTCCTCTGTGGTGAATAGTACATCCAGGAAATCATATAAATGCTGTCAACCATGAATGGTTATCTCTGGGAAGGTGTTAAAATACCTCTGAGCCCCGATCTTCCTGACTTTGTACAGCACAGGCCCCTCCCCAATTGTTTCCTATAATCTTAAGCCATTTTATTTTTGCTTTGTGGCAGAAAGAGAATAAAAGTGCCCAGGGCTCTGCCATTTCTGCAAAGACTGTTCTTTAAGCAACTGTGTATTCTACTATTCTGTTTTAGAAAATGCTTTATACAGAAGATACATACCAGTCTTTACTAAGATGCCCAGCATGCCAGCATCCTGAGCCCCACCAACATCATCCCTGCAATCCTAGAAAAGCATAAAGGAAGTATTTAGTCCACTGTCTTCAGTAAGCTAGCCAACAAACCTTACCAACTGATTTATTAGGCTAGGATGTCCAACTGTAATGCCATGTTTTTTTAATTAAAATAGAAGAGAAGATGTGAAAGGTGAATCCATATGTAGTACTCTAAGGAAGCATTCCAAGTTTGGAAAGGGAAGTATCTCAGAAGTGGAAGGTATACAATAGAGTAGTAATCCTCATAACCAGACACAGCAAGCTATGATTCTCCATCTTTGCTACATCTACATCTATTTATCTCCCTGTTAAACGGATAATGGAAAAATGCATTCTATCCATTTGGCAGTAAATAATTCAACTGCAGACAGTGAATGAGCTACACTCGGAAGATAGCTTTCCTGTGGACCATGTAGTATATTATCCTCACTTTCCATCCCATTGTCCTAACAGGTAGCATCAAGTTAAATCCAGACACTTAGACTCTGACTGTCTAATGTCCGTTTCACACTAGGGAATAACAGATCTGTCTGAAAAAGAAGCTCCTCTTTCTAGTTATTATTCAAGACAAGGATAAATATACTTGGTTAACTGTGATGATGAATCCAAGGTAACTAAAATTCCAAGGACCAAAAGAAACATCAAAAAAATTAATCTTGCCACCTCATGTCTATAAGCATGATTGATTCAGACTATGCCTGAAGAAACTTTTTTTCCTTAAAAACCCTTAATATTGTTCAGCAACAGCTCTTGAAAATGAGTTTCAGAATGTCAAAATCCTCATTCAAGGTCCAACTTCAAACCTTTCCTGTTACAGCGAAACTTGCCCTGTTGAAGAACAGAGATGGGGCAGAAGAGTAAGGGAGATGGGAAAAAGTGAATGTGGGAAAAGAAGGGGGGAAACTACCACTTTCCTGGATAACCAACAATCCTCCATGCAGCTGAACACAGCTGTTGCATCCATTCCCACCTCTCATCCTGTCCCAGGGCGAGCATCTCCTGGGATAAAGAATTCTGAAGTCTCCAGCTCAAATAACCACTTCTTTAGACACATTTAAGGAAGCTAAAGGCTTGCCAAGAGGAACACGTGTGACTAAAAATGACTAAAAAGATAGTTTCTCAAAATACTAGTGAGCACAGTGATTATCCTATTAAATTTTAAGTGAATGATTATCAAAACAGAAGATAAAATCAGGAAGACTGTGATACATTTTCACCATCAGGAGTTAGGAAGGGAGTCCCAAACTCAAGTTCTACTTCCAACTGTGCTAATTAGCTATGGGAATTCAGGGTTGGAGATTCACCTCTTTGGGCTTCGGTTTCCCAGTCTATGAAATGAGAGTTTTGGACCAGACATCTGTGATGATCCCTCCCAGCTTCATATGTTGTTATTTAAAAATTGAAATATAATTTTGGCCACCAACTTACCATGTGCCAGTGTGCTTTCCAGCTCTTTTCCCATCATGACATATGTGGGAATTATGTTTGCCTAGTACACTGAGGTAAACTGACAAGGTGCTCACAGCCACAGATGACCAGACAGGGCCTCTAATCATCCCAGGCTCAGTCCTGCCACTAAGGGCTAAGGTGATCGATATCTTTAGCTATTTGTGGCACACAGATAGAGAAGTTCTTTCATAAAGCATGGAAGAGAAAAAACAGTAGTGATAGAAATCTTTGGTATAGGTTCTCATTCGTGTAGAGGTTTTCCTCAAAAAGACATTTAAGGCATTCAGTTCACTTGCAATATAAATAGTTTTTTGAATTATATATATATAAATATATTTATACATATTTTAGGAGTTAACCATATATATAACACACAAATCTCCCATTACACTATGAAGAAATGTCAGAAATAATAAAAATTTCAGTTCTTTAAAAGAATACCACTGACAGGAAACCTCATTTTATAGGTAGCCATTTACACTGTCTACACTGTCAGTAACAGACTGTCCCCTTCCCTAAAGCAGTGTTTCCAAGCTGGCTCTCCCAGCATGGCAGGTGAGCCGGGAGCACCTCCTGGGTTCTTCTACTTACATCTCCTATCATGACTGCGTCCTCAGGTTCACAGCCAGTGCCCCGCAATGCTTCCAAAAAGAACGTCTTCTCTGGTTTTCCCACGACTGTGGCTTTGGTATCTGTGGCATACTCTAAAGCAGTCACAAATGGTCCAGGCCCCAGGGCTAAGCCATCTTTCCTCTTGTAATACCTGGCTTTGTGGATTGCTATCAGAGGTGCTCCATCCAGGAGTAACCTAGAGAGGGCAACAACAACAAAAGGAAACTGGCTGAAAGCAAGGCTTTTATGTCTGGAATGAATGTCAGACTTACAAAGTGGCTTTATTCACACCTAAAGAAACAAACAGTTTCTTATTAACTTTTAATGACTTGCTGTCTTCTAATGAATTCACAAAGAACTGCTGGGAATTACACTCAGATACACTAAAGAAAGGTGACAGATTATTAAATTTGGGATTGCTTCAACCTTTTACCTTTAGTGGTTTCAGACACTTTACCCAAATCACCAGGGAAAGAGAATTAAGAGAACTAACGCAAATAAGACACTCAAGGGAAGAAGCTTAACTTAATGAGACAAGTTGTTTCAGCCTTCCCCAATGGTAGGCAGGAGGCTCCTGAGCCTTTTACAATACTATGCAAGTGTTGCTGCAGTGACATATTAACTCCTAAAATATATGGACTCCTGTTTCTTCTACTTAAAATATAAGTTTCTTTTTAATTAAGAAATTTTTAATGAAGTGTTTCACAAAGAGTTTCTGCTTACATTTTTTCTTTTTTTACCTTTTGACTGCTTTCAACATTATTTTGCAAATCAGGCCATCTTCCCTGAAGAACAAGATCTACCTCCCCCTTCCCTATGAGGTCCCTTCCTTGTCCTGATATAGGACAAACAATACTCTCACATCAAACAAAAGGACATAAAGAGTTTTCTCATTGTTTTGATAAGCAAATTCTACATATAGCTAAGAGAGTCCTCATTAATGACTCAGGCAAAACAACAAAACAAGTCAAGAAGTTTAATATTCATTTTCCAGCACCCAACCTAAAACTGCCATCCATCACAATCATACAGCCTTTAGTCACATGACAGAAGTACGCACGTGTTATCATCTAATGGCATGCGGGACATGATATATTTCTTAAACTGCTTTTAAACAATGTAATAATTGATCTTACTAGCTTAATTTACTTTAGGTCATATACTTGGTTAAAATATTTAGTATGTCCATCAAGGAAGAATTCATCATATCTTGCCCTTCACAATTATGAGTAATTAAGCCTTCAACCAATGAAACTGTTAAATTATTTTTGTCAGTGGGCATGGAGATGCCTTCCTGTGGGAGATGCAGAATTCAGACATTTATGATTAAATATTTTATTAAGTAAAACCAATACTATTACAGGGCCTTACTGTTAGTTACTACAAATTGCTCACAGCTCTGGACAGATCCTTCAAATTTATTCACTAATATGAATACAAATTTATTTCTTAAAGCTGCTCTTGAAATACAACCATTAGGAAACCTGGCAAAGCCATTTTGTTGGCCTTAAAGACCTACAGCTGACAGCAATGAGTTACTAACAGGTGACTTATCTGTCTTCTCTCCTGTCACCCCACCCCCAAGCCCACTTATTTGCTACTCTACCACGGAACTAGAATTCTTTATGCAACAGACCTCAAAATTGCTTTCCACTTAAACAGCTAAACTGGAAACTCATTTGATTTAGCTTTGTTAATATTTTATTATATATTAACTGGGAATAAGACTTATCAGCTTGATTGATGTGTGTACTTAATTCCCAGGCAGTACTTTAGTGCCTTCCCTGGAAGAGCTGAAACTGTGGGTTCCTCTACACTTCTCTAAATGGGAGCTGGTTCTACAAGAGGCTAGAGAAGATGTACATCTCTCAGGGAAGCAGTTCTTCCTTCTAACCTGTTCTGCTCTGCAGAGTATAAGCTTTACTGAATCTTTGAACAGCCAAGGCATATTGAGGACGGACTGAAAAGTAAATGTTCTCTAGGACACAGATTAAAAGATATTTTATAGTTAAAACATTTTTTAAAATATAAAATAGAGCCACCCCAATACTTGGAGTATTTTTGTACTTACTACACAGGCAACAAAAGGCTGGCTGTGACTATGGCTTGTCCCCCCAAAAATTCATGTGTTGGGAAATTAATTCCCAGGGCAACAGTGTTGAGATGGAGGATCTTTAAGAAGTGACTAGGTCATGAGAGCTCTACCGTTACTGAGGAAGTGGGTTAAGTTATTGCAAAGTGGGTTCCTGATCAAAAGGATGAGTTTGGCCCCTTCCCTCTCTTGCGTGCGTGCTCTCTTGACCTTCTGCCTTCTACCACGGAAGGATGATGCAGCAGAAAGGCTTTCCCCCGGTGCAGGACCTTCAACCTTGGACTTCCCAGCCTCCAGAACTATAAGAAAGAACTCTGTTCTTTAAAAATTGCTTGGTCTGAGATATTGTTATAGCAGCACAAAATAGAAAAATACAGTTGTTTTTAATAGAGATAACATGTCAGCAGGAAATCTGAAAATTTTCTAACTATAAGTCAGTTAAAGGCCAGGCATGGTGGCTCATGCCTGTAATCCCTGCACTTTGGGATACCAACGTAGGAGGCTCACTTGAGGCCAGGATTCCAGACCAGTTAGAGAGACTCCATCTCTAAAAATAACATATATGTAATTATTATGATTATAAGAAATAATTAGGTGACTTTGTTGTGATACTCATTTTATTGCAGTGGTCTGCAACCAAATCCAAAATATCTCATAGACATGCCTATATTTGGGAGAATGTTAGGCTAGTTTTTGGGTTTTAGGTTTTTGCTTCTAGAGCAAGTCACATAATTATTTCTTATAATAATTAAATATATATTACATATATAATTGTTTTTTAAAGGCAAAAGAAGGCCTAATTCAAAAATTTCTGGCTATAAATTCCATGTAGGTGAATAAATAAAACTGTAAAAAAAAAATCCTAGCCAGGCAGCAGGGCTACCATATAAAAATCTCAGGCAGAGCAACAAGAGAAAGCTGAAGGGATGATTTAAGTTTAGAGTCACATGATTCCTTAAAGACCTAGAACCAGAAATACCATTTGACCCAGTAATCCCATTACCGGGTATATACCCAAAGGAATATATAGATCATTCTATTATACAGATACATGAATGCATATATTCACTGTAGCACTAGTCACAATAGCAAAGACATGAAATCAACCCAAATACCCATCAATAATAGACTGGATAAAGAAAATGTGGTACACATACACAATGGAATACTATGCAGCCATAAAAAGGAACGAGGTCATGCCTTTTGTAGGGACATGGATGGAGCTAGAAGCCATTATCCTCAGCAAACTAACACAGGAACAGAAACACTGAATGTTCTCACTTATAAGTGGAAGCTGAACAATGAGAACACATGGACACAGGGAGGGGAACAACACACACTCGGGCCTGTCGGGAGTGTTGGGGAGGGAGAGCATCAGGAAAAACAGCTAATCCCTGCTGGGCTTAATACCTAGGTGATGGGTTGATAGGTGCAGCAAATCACCATGGCACGTGTTTCCCTATTTAACAAACCTGCACATCCTACACATGGACTCCAGAATTAAAAAAAAATAAATAAATAAACATAGAGTCACAGAGTATTACTGAAAGAGACCCAAAGGAACATCAAGTCCAAAGTGCCCTACTTTACAGATGAGATCATCTGACATGCTGGCATCAATCAAGGAGAGCTAAAGCCAGTGCTGGAACCCGGAACCTGAAAGCCCATCTGGCATTCTTCCAAATACTGGCATGTCGATGAGATTATTTTGGATTCAGCCACAGACCACCGCCATAAAGCAAGTATTGCAATAAAGTGAGTCACGTGAATTTTTTGGTTTTCCATAGTCTATGAGTATGCAACAGCATTGTTTCTAAAAAAAAAATACATATGTTAAATTAAAAATACTTCATTGCTAAAAATGCTAACAATCATCTGAGACTTCAGGGAGTCATAAGCTTTTTGCAGGTAGGTCTTGCCTCGATGTTGATGGGTGCTGATGGATCAGGATGGTAGTTACTGAAGGCTGAGTCACTGTGGCAATGTCTCAAAATAAGTCAACAATGAAGCTTGCTGCATCAATTTAATCTTCATGAAATAATTCTCTGTAGTAGGTGATGTTGTTTGACAGTTATTTTACCCACAACAGAACCTCTTTCAAAATTGTGAGCCAATCCTCTTAAGCCCTACTGCTGCTTTATCAGCTAAGTTTATGTAATATTCAAAATCTTTTGTTGTTATTTTAACAATGTTCAAAGCATCTTCACCAGGAATAGATTCCATCTCAAGAAACCACTTTCTTTGCTCATCCAAAAGAAGCAACTCCTCATCCATTCAAGCTTTATCATGAGATCGCAGCAATTCAGTCACATCTTCAGGCTCTACTTCTAATTCTAGTTATTTTGCTATTTCCACCGTATCTGCAGTTAATTCCTTCACTGAAGTCTTAAATCCCTCAAAGTCATCCATGAGGGTTAAAATCAACTTCTTTCAAGCTCCTGTTAATGTTAACATTTTGAACTCCTTTCATGAATCATGAATGTTCTTTCTTGATGGCATCTAGAATGATAAATCCTTTCTGGAAGGCTTTCCATTTTCTTCGCCCAGATCCATCAGAGAAAATCATTATCTATGGCAGCTATGGTCTTAGAAAATACATATTTTTAAATAATAAGACTTGAAAGTCAAATAACTCCCTGATCCATGGGTGGCAGAATGGGTGTTGTGTGAAGAGGCATGAAAACAACATTGATCTCCTGGCACATCTCCAACAGAGCTCTTGGGTGACCAGGCGCTTTGTCAATAAGCAGTATTATTTTGAAAGGAATCTATTTTTCTGATCAGTAGGTCTCAACAGTGGGCTTAGAACATTCAATAAACCATGATGTAAACAGATGTGCTATCACTCAGGCTTTGTTACTCCACTTATAGAACACAGGCTTTAACTTAAAGTCACCAGCTGCATTAGCCCCTAACAAGAGAGTCTGCTTGTCCTTTGAAGCCACTGACTTCTCCTCTCTAGCTATGAAAGTTCTAGGTGGCATCTTTTGCCAATGTAAGACTGTTTCATCTACATTGAAAATCTGTTGTTAAGTGTAGACATCTTTATCAATGATCATAGGTAGATTTTCTGGATAATAGGCTGTAACTTTTTTTTTTTTTTT